TGTCTGAATGCTGGGAGGTGTTGGGTGCAGACTTGACTGTTGAGTGATTGCACCTAAAAGCCTGAAGTGTCAGGGGTGAATCCAAACATGATTATTGAATGATTGTACCTAAACCATAAAGTGTTTAAATCCCAAAGGGTGGCTGAATCCAAACTTGGCCATTGACTGATTTATCTAAACCCCAAAGAGTGGCTGAATCCAAACTTGGCCATTGACTGATTGTACCTAAATCTCAAAGTATTTAAACTCCAATGAGGGGCTGAATCCAAACTTGGCCATTGGCTGATTTATCTAAACCCCAAAGTGGGGCTGAATCCAAACATGACCATTGACTGACTGTACTTAAATCCCAAGGGGGTTGAATCCAAACATGGCCATTGGCTGATTGTACCTAAACCCCAAAGTATCTAAATCCAAAGGAAAGGCTGAATTCAAACTTGGCCACTGACTGATTGTACCTAAATCTCAAAGTATTTAAACTCCAATGAGGGGCTGAATCCAAACTTGGCCATTGACTGATTTATCTAAACCCCAAAGAGTGGCTGAATCCAAACATGGCCATTGACTGATTGTACCTAAATCCCAAGGAGAAGATAAATCCAAACTTGGCCATTGACTGATTGTTCCTAAAAATCCAAAGTATTGGGGCTGAATCCAAACACGATCATTGGCTGATTGTACCTAAACCCCAAAGCATCTAAATCCCAAGGAGAAGATAAATCCAAACTTGGCCATTGACTGATTGTATCTAAACCCCAAGCAAAGGCTGAATCCAAACCTGGCCATTGACTGATTGTATCTAAAATCTAAAGAATCAGGGCTGAATCCAAACATGAGCATTGACCAATTGTACCTAAGCCCCAAGGAAGGGCTGAATCCAAACTTGGCCACTGACTGATTGTATCTAAAACCCCAAAGTATCTAAACCACAAAGAGAGGATGAATCCAAGCATAACCACAGCTTGATTTTATCTAAATCCCAAAGATTGGCTTAATCCAAGCATGACCATTGACTGATTGTATCTAAATCCCAAAAATTGGTCGAATCCAATCATGACCGTTGACTGATTATACCTAAATCCTAAAGATTGGCTTAATCCAGGCATGACCATTGAGTGATTACTCCTAAACCCTGAAGTATCTAAATCCTAAAGAATGCCTGAATCCAAGCATGACCATTGACTGATCATTCCTAAATCCCAAAGCACCTAAACCCCAAAGGTGGGCTGAACCCAAGCATGACCACTGAGAAGAGAAAAAAAGAACATTTCACTCCCAGTTCTACCAGTTCAGGTGATCTGAGTTCAAGTGGCTCCATGCCAGACCGAGTGGAGGTGGCACTTGGTGACACAGCTGGGTGGGCATGGGGGCACCTGGATGAAGGTTGGACTTGAAGATCTTGGAGGTTTTTTCTAACTTTAATGATTTAATGATTCTATACCTGAAATAAAAGCAGCTGGGACATCCAGAACCCCCCCCATTTATCCAGTTCTCCCTCCAGAGAACTTTTCCCACACCAAAAGGTTGTTTTTACCCAGGGGAACCAAAGGATTTGGCAGTGGTTTCCCAAAAAATTGTTTTGTTACCAAATGCAAGAGCCTCTGTGGGGAACCCTTGGGTTCCTCAGCTCATGGCCCTGGAGGAACAGCAAATGGGGAAAAATCTTTGGAAAAGAGAGAAAAGGGGGATTTAAGTTGTGATGGTGCTAAAATTATTGATTTTCCTATTGAATACTGGGAATTACAAAGACAGGAATGAGTCTGGCAGATAAGTGAGGAGAAAAACTCATCAAAAAAACCCCAGGTCTATTGCCAAGGAAGAATTCAATTAATATTTTCCTCTGAGTTGCTTTAAATTTATGTGTGTTTAGCTAATTAGAGTCTGGCCAGGCAGATCCAAATCAGGATCGCCCTTTTCCCCTTGCTTCCCATGCAGCTCTTGCAGGAGGGAGGAGCAAACCTTCCCTGCTTTCATCAAAACCTTTGTTCTGCTGAGCTCTTTGAAGATTACAATCACAGCCACGGCTGTTTCACACTCATTAGGCAGGAATTCAAGAGAACAGACCTCGAACTACTCCAAAATCCAAACCATGCTTTGCTTCACCCCTGCAGAAGGCTCAGGTCGTGCCAGTGTCTGTCCCCTCTTTGCAGCACAAGCCTGGATGTTCCCACAGATAACTCCAGGGAGCACGTGGGTGAGAAATCCCTTCTGCTTCCCCACTGCTCCATGCATCATTTGCTATTTACTCCCATAAAATCCCCGAGTTGTTCTCGCCCAGTGCAGCACAAAGCTGTTACTGAAAGGATCAAGGGGCAGCAGTGTGACAGCCCCGAGCCTGTGACACGCACACAGGGAGGATTTCCCAGCTGCCAGACGGGATTTCAGCTGCTTACACCCAGCAAAAGTGCTAAAAATGCCACTGGGGAGAATTGCTGGGGGATAAATCTCCAAATTCCCTGTGTGACTCCGGGCAGGACGGCGGGATGGGGCTGATGGTAATCCTGGGATGTGCAGGGTTCAGGCTGAGTGGGAATGAAAGGGCAGAATACAAAGTGCCCAGAGCAGCCCTGCCAGAGCTCTGCTCCCAAAGGAATCCTAATTCCCTGTGATTTTCCCTGCTCAGAACCCCCAGACACCAAAAGCAGCTCAGGACACTGAGGACACACGTGGGAATGACCCGAGGACACTTCCAGAACACACCTGAACTCACCTTGGTAGACAAAATGAAAGCCTTTGGCTGTGGATTGACCCTTGGAGCTGAATTTGATGAGGATCTGGTTGGTGGTGGCCAATGGCAAAGATTCCCCTGGATGGGGAGGAGGGAAAACAGGAGAGACGCAGAGGTGAAGGAATGAGCCACAGGGAGCAGGTGTTGGGTGACAGCTGTGCCACAGCTGCTGTCCCCAGCAGGGACAGGGACAGGGAGCTGCTCCCTACCTGAGTGAGAGCCTGAGAGGGAGCTGAGCAGCCGGGAGTGCTCCGTGGGGCCGTCGTGCACCTCCACCACGTCATTGAGCGCCGTCTGGAAAAAGGCAAACTGCCCGAAGAGCACTGTGGGGACAGGGACAGGGACAGGGACAGGGCTGGCACCGGCCACTGCTGTCCCCAGTGCCACCACGCTGCTGTGCCCAATGTCATCACACTGCTGTCCCCAGTGTCACCATGCTGCTGTCCCCAGTGTCACCATGCTGCTGTGCCCAGTGCCACCACACTGCTGTCCCCAGTGTCATCACACTGCTGTGCCCAATGCCATCCCACTGCTGTCCCCAGTGTCACCACACTGCTGTGCCCAATGCCATCACACTGCTGTCCCCAGTGCCACCACACTCCTGTCCCCAGTGCCACCATACTGCTGTGCCCAATGTCATCACACTGCTGTCCCCAGCATCACTACACTGCTGTCCCCAGTGCCACCACACTGCTGTCCCCAGTGCCACCATACTGCTGTTCCCAGTGCCACCACACTGCCATCCCACTGCTGTCTCCAGTGTCATCACACTGCTGTCCCCAATGTCACCACACTACTGTCTCACTGCTGTCCCCAGTGTCATCACACTGTTGTCCCCAGCATCACCATGCTGCTGTCCCCAGTGTCATCACACTGCCATCCCACTGCTGTCCCCAGTGTCACCACACTGCTGTCCCCAGTGTCACCACACCATCATCCCCACTGCCATCCCACTACTGTCCCTCCACACCCAGCCTATGGGGCCAAGGCATTTTCATGGAACCCCAGAATCCCTGAGCCAGACCCCAAGGACCATCCAGTCCAAGCCCTGGCCCNTTTAATTTCTAACTTCATTATTTATAAATTTCCAAAAGTGGCAGTGTATTGGAGGGTGGAAGAGCCACCTCTCCAATGACACTGGACAAACCAACTGCCCATCAGATTTCTCCTCTTGAAATAAAACGCTGCGGACACGCTGCTCTTTTCAAAGCAAAAAGAGAGCTTTTAATTTCTAACATTTATAGATTTCCAAATGTGACAGTGGATTGGAGGGTGACAATGCCACTTGTCCAATGACACTGGACAAACCAACAGCCCATAAAATTTCCCCTCTTCCATAAAAGAACGCAGAACAATGAGTTATTTACAGATAACGCACGACAAGAACACAAACATCAGAAAGCTCAGAAAAACTTTAAAAAACTCTTTTAAAGGTAAAAAGAGAGCTTTTAATTTCTAACTCTAACATTTATAAATTTTCAAATGTGACAGTGGATTGGAGGGTAAAAGTGCCACCTCTCCAATGACACTGGACAAACCAACAGCCCATCAGATTTCTCCTCTTGAAATAAAACGCTGTGGGCACACTGCTCTTTTCAAGGTAAAAAGAGAGCTTTTAATTTCTAACATTTATAGATTTCCAAAAGTGACAGTGGATTGGAGGGTGACAATGCCACTTGTCCAATGCCACTGGACAAACCAACAGCCCATGAAATTTAGCCTCTTCCATAAAATAACGCAGAACAATGAGTTATTTACAGATAACGCATGACAAGAACGCGACCATCAGAAAACTCAGGAAAACTTTAAAAAACTCTTTTAAAGGTAAAAAGAGATCTTTTAATTTCTAACTCTAACATTTATAAATTTTCAAATGTGACAGTGGATTGAAGGGTAAAAGTGCCACCTCTCCAATGACACTGGACAAACCAACAGCCCATCAGATTTCTCCTCTTGAAATAAAACGCTGCAGGCACGCTGCTCTTTTCAAGGTAAAAAGAGATCTTTTAATTTCTAACATTTATAGATTTCCAAAAGTGACAGTGGATTGGAGGGTGACAATGCCACTTGTCCAATGCCACTTGTTCAATGACACTGGACAAACCAACAGCCCATCAAATTTCCCCTCTTCCATAAAATAACGCAGAACAAT